GGGATTTTTTCATATTTAAAATTTACAATTACATTTACATACTTGACAGACAGGACTTATTTTTTCTATATTATTCCAACATCACTAGTATTCCTCAGTTTCCTCCCTTAAAACATGAGACAGTTGAACTAGATCTCAAGTACTGAACCTCAGTGCCAGCCCATGCCTTGTCAGGTCTGGATATCTGGTGCACTGTGAAATTGGGTCTGGGGGTGGGACATGCCTTTATATGTAAGTTTTAAAATTCTTAGTTGGCAAAATAAACTTGTATCTGCCAGGCACTGGGTAGGTATTTGTGTTATTATACTATTTTACATGAGAAAAACACAGTTTTAGAAAAGTAAAGTCCCCAAGGAGATATGACTACTAAATAGTAGAGCAAGGACTCAAACCCCTTTGTCAGCCTCCAAATCTCAGTTTCTAATCAGTTACACAGTCTTCAAGTAGTACTCTTTCTCAAGACCTTCTCAAATTTTCCATTAACTTGTCCTAGAAAATCATTTCTCTTTTAACCTTGAATTCTGTAAAAGTCTTGCCAACATTTTTCTATTTATTCTCCCATGATCCACTACACACATTCCTTACCTCCCAATTAATTCCACTAAAATTTAAAATACTTTATTAACTTTTTTCTTGTTTTGTTTCTTCTTTCTACAAATGCATCAGGTTCCTTTCAGAATGGCTGCCCAGGACAGATAAACTGATACCCGTTTTAGGTGACATGAGGAGAATGAATTACAGTAAAACTCAATGGGACAGGGAGAGTGAGCACAAAGGAATTTCTGTTGGACCCTAGAACATTATATGACTCTATTTTCAACCTGGAGTTTCTCCAGAAAAGCTCCTAGTTGTTTAACACTTGTTCACTTACAAATTTAAGATGAAGTAGTCACTCCTGAGTTTTTGAAGAAACCAGCCTATTTTGTAGGTGTTCTGATTTACACAATGTCCTTATCCAAAAACTGTCTCTTACATGAATTGAAAAAAAAATTATAGCAAAATATTTTACTTTATGACAAGGTTTTATTTCATGACTTTTCTATATGAAAACCACTACCTTTCATGGATAGCCATTGCTTAACTTTTCTTATAAGGGCTGGCCAAATAGCTCAGCGGATTAAAGTGCCTGTAAACAGGTACAGGGGCCAGGTGTTTGATCCCCAGGCCTGCAGTGCCAGCCCTGCACCCAGGGCATGCTGAGACAGCAATTGAGACTGGGCGTGGTGGCACGCATCTGTAATCCCAGCACTTGGGAGGCTGTAAACAGGAGAATCACTATGAGTCCCACCTAGTAGTGAGACCCTGAACACCCTGTAGACCCTTCCCTAAATACAGGAAAAAAACAAAACAAAACAAAAAACTTACAGTGTTCTAAAAAGGAAAAATACATAGATCCTAAAAATTACATGAATATTTAATTAGATTTTGAGAGTAAACTTTTAAAAATAGTTTAACTATGAACATAGAAACATTTCATGTAAGTCAGGATATACTTTAGTCATTATTAGAAATAAGCCTTGCTATTATCTTTGCTTAGGCTAGGTTGGTATGGTGGTGCACATTTATAATGTCAGTACTGTAGGAGTCTGAAGGGATGGGGAGATAGCTCAGTGGAATAAGTGCCTTCCCGGCAAGTGCACGGTCCTGAGTTCGATCCCTTGTGTCACCAAAAAATAAAAATAAAAAATAAATAAATTAAAAAAGAGAGTTCTAGGAGTCTGAGGCAGGGAGATTTCACATTATTGCCCACCCTGAGCAAAGCAGTGTCTTAGCAAAACTCTGTCTTAAAATTAAAAAAAGATGGACATGTAGCTCAGTGCAAAGCCCCCAGGTTGAATCCCCAGTACTATTAAAAATAAAAAAAAAATTACTTGAATTGTTCTTCCCAAAGTTATTTATAAAAAATGCCTTTCAATATCTTTTAAGATTTCACTGTATCAACATCTAATAAACATAATAAAATTTCAAGCTATGTGTAAACATGCAGAATCACAAACGCCCCCAAAATAATACTGACACTCTACAGATATAAAGTAAGTTGAAATAAATTTTCATATATTAAACAAAGTCCGCATTTGCAATAAAGTTTAATATATTTTTATTTCAGTAAAAATCAGAACAGGTTTAGTTGTGACATAGATATTAAAGATAATTACAAATAATTGCCATATCCAGTCAAATTTTAATAAGAGCCCAAAAACATTATACTTACATTCACTATTTTTAAAAAATGGGATTAGGAGGAGACAGCCTTTTTTCATAAAAAGGGACAAAAGGAGGGAAGAAGATTGTCATATTTATACTTAGCCCACATCTGCTCTTAAGTAACATTGCTAAAGAGCTTCTTTCAGGAATAAGATGTCAGATAACAATTTATGCTTTTTTAAATGGAAATCTCCACTTACCGTAGCTTCATTACAAACTGTGCATTTAACCACATGTTGGTGAAGTTTGCCATCCAAATTGATTAGAGACTGGCACACACGGCAGTTGATTACGGGAATACCACTGGCATCTGGGCTTGCGATGGCTGTATATGGAGGTGGGAGTTCTGCTGCAAAAACATTAGTCACAGAATTAGAGCTTCCAAGAAATTACTACAACTGGTAGGAGCATATAAGCAATAGAAGTGAAGTAGAAATTATCAAAATTTCCCCCAAATTCATGTTTTTAAAGCTAATCCACTTATTCTAGTTTCAGAACATACACATTCATAGGACTATGTTATCATAAAGAATAATTACTCACAGTGACAAAAACCTAATCTTGTTAGTGTAGGACTTCCCCAGTAATTCAATTTTTTTTTTCTTAACCTATACTCAAAATAGGAACTTCATCCTTGTGGGTAAATCTACAGAGCCATTAATAAGAAAGTTACAGTTTATAACTAAATTAAAAGTCTTGCCAATAAATCAAATGGTGAACAATAATGAAGTTTTAAGATCACTTATACATACATAGAAATTGTGTACAACCATGCTGTCTCTGTATAGTGACATAAGATAATGACTAGTTGTGACACAAATCTGGAGGCAGTCAAGGAAAATAAAAAATGAGCCAAGGAAAACTGAATTTACCAGTTGGAACTAAGATGAGAATTATGCTGACTTCAGATACAAAAGAGAAATAAAGCAAATTTAGTAATTTACTCAGATAGTCTCACATTTCTATTTGTAATTAAAAATCTAAGAAATGCCTTTACATATACATTGCTAAAAACTGTGATTTCTAGTATGAAGTACTCTGTGAACAACCACAACAAATACATACAATGCTACATAAGATCATATTGGTCATACTACTTTTATGAATATTTGAAAATATATTTCAAAGTGTGAACTGAAAGATACACAAATAAATGCACATGAGCTGTTATTTGTGATTTTTTTCTTCTTAGCACTCTAAGTGAATAAGGGGTAAGACGTCATCTCAGAATCAAATATATCTATCAGGAATGTAGATTAGAAAACTTGGAGAAAACACAATACTCATGTACTGTAGCACAGAACTTCTAAAAGATAATTGCCTAATCACTTTCTATAAATACAAAGTATAACAAAACTATAATGAATGTTTAAATTTTAAACATTTTATTACAGTAAAAGACACATGGCCATTCCACCTTTCAAAATATGTCCCTTACTTCAAACACACTTACTCCATCATTCTTGTCACTTTCTGAAGCAGTTCTGGAAATTCTCTATCATGTTTCTTAAGCTTAGCTGTCACATGTCCTGAACTGATACAAAACTTTTACCTTTCATGCTCATTTTGACTTTGAGAAGAGCCAGGGGTTGTGCAGTGCCAAATCAGGTGAATAAGGTTATGATCCACAATAATGTTTTTATGTCCCTGTCTTTCCACTGAATGGGATTTGGCAGCAGCACTCAGCATACTTTTCATTACACCTTGAAAGAGTCTCAAGGAAAAGAACTTCCAGAACTGCTTCAGAATATAGCAGGAATATGAGTCCCAGGGAGAAGACAAGCATATTGAGTTGGGTTATTGAAGTTGGGTTATTAAAACCTTTTACTTTATATTTTTTTAATTTAAATATTCACTGTATATTTTGATCATACCTGGTATCTAAGTTGTAGGCAGAGAAATTCCTTTTGATATAAAGTATTATCTGAGGATTTTAGAGAGGGCCATGTCCTGCACATGACTGAAATAATACTAAGAAGAACTGCTAACTGCATGGGGCTTCTGTAACACTATGGAACACAATCATAATAGCCCATGCAAATTTTTGAAATAGAGGATTTCTATCCATTACATTAGGTTATAAATAATAGTTTTAAAAGTTTCTGAGCATAATATGATACAAAAAATTCACATAGATTATCTATCATGTGGTACTCTCTCAGTTACCATAATGTAGATCGTTTTTAGACTACAAAGAATTAGCAATAAATATTGCCAAAATGATTCATAAACTGAATTTATAGAGTAGCCAAGGCTCTGAAGCAAGCCACTTAGAAATGACAACATGCTTATATTTCTGGACAGACTGAACCAGAACACTGCCAAACACTGAACTTGAAAAGAAGTCATACACATTTTAAATTACAAAAATAGCTGTAAGTCCTTTAAGGAATGTGAGTTTGACCCAGAGTGACCTATAATGTATTAAGAAGACAATAACAGATTAAAGGAATGAGTTGATAATATATCTTAGGCTCGGCCATTTTCAGATGGCTTTATCATATTTCAGTAGTGAAAACATTATTCTGGGGAAAAGAGTACACATCTCACTAGAAATTCAAGATACCCTGCCTCATTTTAAATAACTGTTGGCAATAGCATTATTATAAAAATTTATTTCCTCTCAGCATTCCTTTGAGGCATAGTAACATGAAGTCGTTCTCCCATAATTCTAAATCTCCATATTACAAATAATGATAGAAAAGAAAAATTTTTAAAGACAATTTCATTAAAAAGGAAAGTGTATGGGGGTGAACTACATTAGAGGACACTGAACTCCTTCCACTTTGACAAACCCAGCTTTGATCAAAAGTATCTCCTAAGAAAATAGCAGTAGGTGATCAGAAAAATCATTTGAAGTGCATTAGAGCCTATAAAGCTCTATAAAATTTTCCTCTGGATTTTTACTACATAATTTTTAATCTGTCAAAAAAGAAAAGCCTTCACTGACAAAAATATTCTGTTCTAATGGAGACTTGAAAAGTGGAGGGAGGAAGACAGAATTATCAGTTAGGATTCAAGTGTTAAAATGAAAAAGAATAAGCTCCATGAGGCCCGAGGCATATCTGATATGTTGACTAATTCACTAGCACTTGTAGTTCTGGGTCTGTGAAACAGCTTAATAGGGCTGGGGAGAAAGCTCAGTAGAATAAGCGCCTGCCTGGCAAAAGCAAGATCCTAAGTTCAATCCCCAGTAATGAAAAAAAAAAAAAAAAGAAGAAGAAGAAGCTTAATAAATATTTACTTAATGAATGAAATGAGTGAATCACTGAAATTTATGAGACACATCTGTCAAACAACACTAAGTGTATTACCACTATTGTCCTTGAAGGAGAATGTAGCTAGACTGAACAAATGGCTCTTTTCTACATAAAAGATTATTTTCTCTAAAAATGCCTACGAATGGTTAGGTGGTCAAGGGACATTGGCATAGGCACCAGATAAATGGAATCTGTCCAAGAGATCAATAGAATGACAGATGTGGTAGCCTAATTGCTCCACTAAACAGCATTTTTAGGCCCTTCATTTCAATTTTCTGCCCCCTACCTCAGGTGTAAGATAATCTAGATTTTTTTTTTTAAATTTTGGCCTCTTTTCTCAAAGGGAAATTTTACCTATAGCTCTTCTTAGTAAGGGACTTACAATTCCAGAAATTTCTTTCAGTTACTAAACCTATAATAAATAGCAACTTAGATCTGTTTGTCTCGTTTCACTTTAATACAGTTGAAAGATTACCATTATTGTACCCATTTTCAATTTGTGTATTAGAAGAAAAGCCCATTTTAATCCCAGAATTTGAGATCATTAGATATTAAGAATCATAGAAATTCTTCATTTAGACGAATATTACTTATTACCTAAACCATGGTCAATCTCTCTAGAAGGTTTTACTTCTAAATGAAAAATCCTTTACCTCCATGTAAGTAGATTTGATAAGCTAGTAATTCTTAATTCTAAAAATCTTCCATAAATCTCCAGAAATGTACGTTAGAAATTTAGGCAATCTTAAAAATTATGTGGCTTAATTTCTTCATTTTATGGTAAAAGAAACAAAAGCCAAGATATGTCTGACTTTTGAAGTTTTACACAGTTCAGCAAAGCCAAGCTCTGAGTTCTGTCACTGACATCTCCACACAATAACAGCTGCCTCCCTGAATAAATAATGACATAATGTAGGGGGGAAATGTAAAGATTAATGAGGCAGTTCTGCAGAGACAGGCAAGAATCTGATAGTGGCCATTTCTGGAAAAAAATAGATCTGTGATAAAAAGGATTAGGAACCAGAACAGGAAGTCAAGAAAAATAAAAAATTGAAATGACTATAAAAAAATCATTCTATGATAATAAAAACGTCACAGCAAAACAAACACAGAAGAGACAATGAAAGCGTATAGATCGCAAAGCAAACGTAATGGTCTTCCTAATACACTCGAAAGGATCCATTATTAGTCCACACACCCATAAGTGATCAGATTACATTTTCCCATCACAAACATCAACATAATTTATCCCTTTTATGCCAAACAGCTTCTCTATTTTGCTAATTCATCCTGATGTACTAATCTATACTTCAAGGTTTTTTTCTCAGTTATATCCATCAACATTTTGAATGTTGAAATTGCTTTGCTGGGTTCCTCTGACTTTCATCATCTCCGTTATTTCTTTACAAGTCTCTTAGTGGCAATATTTGCTGGTTTAATTCACTTCCTTTACTTACATTGTCTTTTATTCAGCCCTTCAAGCCTTTGACAAAGGATGTATCAAAACTGAAAAATGACAGCATGTTAAATGAGAGATATTTTAAGATACTGTTATAGCAAAAGCAGCCCATAGGAAAAGCACAGTTCCATTGCAAGAATCCACTTTCCCTTAGTATTTGGGTGAGTGTGTTAGGGACATAATAACTTGGCCACTAGAGTATAGCTACTTCTAGTGTCAACAGAAAAAGGGAAAAGCCACTTTCTATTCTTCCTCTTCTCTAAAACCAAAAAAAATAAAATTTACAAGAGGCTGTTGGGTTCTTCCCAAGCCATGGTACGCTAAAGAGGATTTATGTGGAAAAAGATAGCTTAGAAGGTCAGTGTGTTAGCAATTTGGTTTCTGTTCCCAAATTCTAAATTCACCCTTCTTTGCTCTGCATTGTGAACCAGGAGCTGGCACAACACAAAGCATGCTTTGGCTTCTCCAGTTGGCTGCCGTTACTCTGTTAACAGGCAATAAAGGGAGCCTGGAAAGCTGGAGGTAGAAGGGATTGTTCTCTTCATTTGTTATCTGTGAGCTTCCAGTCTACCTTCTGTTTCTCTAGATGTCACCCCAGGAGTTATATTTCACACAAGCAATGGAACTTTT